ATTTGCTATCTACTATCCGTTACCTACTTTCTGTTATCTGTCATCTGCTATCCGCTACTGCTATCTGCTATCCGCTACCGCTATCTGCTATCCGCTACCGCTATTCGCTATCCGTTATCTGCATCCGTTAAATTTTAACAGTTATACCAAACAGACCCTTAAGCCTATAGAAGAGTCAAATGTGGGCTTCCCTTTGACTTTTACCTCTTCTACAATTTGTGTAAATAAGGACATGAAAAAATAAAAGAAGAAGAAGCAAGAAATAGTGTATGATTAGTGTTGCCTTTAGACACTTCCTATTTTTGATCTCTGGTCTTTCTCATATGTTTCTGGTAACCAGATAGATGAAAGTCCATTGTTCTTGGTACCATTCTATTGTTGGTTATTATTGTCAATGGCTCATTTGACATTTCATTTTTGTGGTATATTAACAGGAAATTTTAGACTATTCCCATGTTCCAGGACATGCTGTTCTTCATCGAGGTCGCCATAGGCATGGTGCTAGAGCGACAGTATCTGGTCGTCGGGTCAACTTACTTTTATGGTGCAGAAGGTATTTTTATTATCATTTATATTTATTCCCTTCGTATAAATGTACCCAAACACACAGTAGAGTAGACGCTTTTGACAGTGTTCTCCTGAAGCTATGATACCTGGCATGACTTCCGCACCGTTTGTGGTAAATATTGATTTTCCAAGTTCCAAGAAAGATAGGGAACAATCCAAGCGAAAGTGAAGAGGCTCACTTTTTGGATATTTTATTGGATTTAGTTGGACCAAAAGTTCTCAACTGCTTTTCATTTTCATTTTCATCTTCACTGCTGCCCATCAAGCTTGAAATCATGGCTTTGCCTCTTTATGATGTACTCCTACATTATAGCTTGTGTATTTTCTGTTGGGCTTTGTGTTGTTTCGCAATTCATTAGATTTCACTTTAAAGTTTATGGTTGATCAATTAATGAATTTTTAATTTCGTTCATACTGAATTATGTGTACCTAGTTCCGTTTTCCGTGAGCTGAGGAAATATCAGAAAGATTTTTCAAGCTGGTGCGGAGAATGCCAGCGTGAGAAGATAGAAAGGCAGCAGAATTCAATTGCTGCAACCAAAGAGGTGGGGTAGGCTATTTTGAAGAGGTTATAGTTTTTGCATCACGTATATTAACGTCATTGGTGTATGCTTTCTGCAGGAGTTGCTGAAGAGGGAAGGAAAACCTGCTCCTTAACCTGAATTTGTCTACAGGGTTTTGCTTTTAAAGTTGTAAATTAGTCATTAGCACAGAGTATCATCTATTTTCTCCTTCCTTTCAGTTAGACTAGATTGTGATGGTAACATTGGATAGACGAATGGCATTTTCAAATCTTTGTTGTACTCAAGCTTCAATCCTTTCGGCAATCCAAAAAAAGACAAAAAAAAAAAAAAAAAAAAAAGAGAGAAAAGAGGAGGCGTCAATCTTTCCTGGCGTTGGAGGAGCTGTTTGGGACAGCCACTGCTCATCAAATCTGAGGAGTTACCGTGTAGGACTCACTGTGTAAGAACTCTCCTTATTTGTCTTACTATTACTATCGTCGACAATCCATTTCTTGCTCAACTCTTTTTTCTCGTGTAAAAAGGAGACTACTTCCAATTGGAATTGAATGCCTTGAGATTAAAACATTGGACTATCTCCATATGGTAGATTTGGGTTGAAGAGAATTGGGTGGAGATAAAGGAAAGTGAAGGAAAATTATATCTTTTTATTTATTTTTATTTATTTTTGTTTTTTTTAATAAGTAAATAAATTAAAAGAAAAAATAAAATAAAATATATTTTTTCTTTTTTTTCCTTTCTTTTAATTTTTTTAGTAACTAAATAAATGAAAAAAGTTTTTCTCCTTTCTTTTTATTCTTCTCAACTTAACTTAAATGTACGGTTAAAAATGTAGCTGACAACATGAAGGTAGATGAGATTAAAACACAAAAAGAAAGAAACTATTTCCAGTCGAATTTCTCATGACTTGCGTCTTTCGTGATGGACCATGGGTTTAATACTAAGCAGAGAAGGAAACTATAAACTAAGCTTATTTTTTTAGGTACATATCCGATTATGAGTGATAAGTTATATAATAGGGAATAATCATTCTTTATTTTTGAATTTCTCATCATTTGACTTAAAATTCAAACTTAAGATTTTCAACTTGAAATCTCAAATTATTAATTGTTAAACTATCCCATTAAAATTAAAGATTTGTGAAGTTTGGATACGCTAACTTAAAGAGGTGATTGCATTAATTCCGAGTTTAAACCATCAGACCGGAGTGTGGGGATCAACAAAATAAAGACGGACATATAGCTCACGTAATGAGAGTTTCATTGTACTTTTTTTTAATCATAATTAATAAAATTGTTAATTTATTATAATTAATTTAATTTTAATTAATATTTTATATAATTTA